TTTATTCAACATGTAAATGAGAAATTGCTCTCCTTTCCAGTCATATAAATAGCCAATTTAATCTGAAGAGATTTTCAACACCAAGAGTTACAATGAGAAAATTTACAGAGAAGGCAAGCTTTGTCTTGTGCAAATTAAAATGAATAATCAGGGCTTCATTAAAATATCACTATGTATATTTCAGTCTAAAAATGAGAAGATTTGGTAAGAGAATTAAATTGTGTTTCTACCTAAAATATTGGTGATCCACGCAGACGTGTGTAAGTCCATGTAAGTTACTTCTGCTGATAGGATATGGCTGTAAGAATATTCAATGGCCTTCAAGAATATTCAATGAATGGGTGAATTGCATTCTTTAGAGAGGCTCTGGTTTTGCAGGGCTGTCTATTTACATACAGTCTTAATTTTTTTTAAGCCTTGGAGCTTGTCAAATGCAGTGTGATCAGAAATTCGTCAGTGCAACTCTCTGTGAGGTTTTGACATTTTTTTCTCCTTGCAAATATTTTTCCTATAAAACTCAGATTTAATGCATGGCATTGTTAATGCTTCTGTTGGATGTTACTCACATCAGCAGTTGACAGTACAGAAGCAGCAAAGGAGGTGACCAAGTTGTAACTGCAGACAAGTCAGAGCTGCAGGATGAATAAGCAGTACAGGAATTTCAAATTAGACATTTGAAAAATCCTTGTCGCTGGGAGGGCTGCGCAGCACTGAGCTAGACAGCAGTTTTCCGAGAGTTGCAGAATTACCATTTTCCTGGGTTTCAATACTCACCTTGACAAAGTCATACAAGTCCAGGTACCACTTTGATAGTGATGTCATCTAGGAAGAAAACCAAACCCATCGAAGATGTGAAGGAAAAAAAACTAGAAAACCTAGGCAGTTGTTGCTGTTAAAATGATGGACCTTTTCCAGCTGCCATACCCTTATTTCTGGAACAGCGTACTGAGACCTCCTGGCTCTGTCTGGCAGTCAGAAATCTCCTGAACATTTTTTCTGGTGTTAGCCACCTCCTGCTCCTACCTGGTGTGCAGCTGCCCCGTGACCCTGGGCGTGCACACTGGTCAGTGCACCCTTGACGGCACATTCCGGGTACCTTTGGCTACCCGTGGGCTACAGGCGCTCGTTAGAGGTGCCCAACAGCAACAGAAAGATCTTTGAAAGGATTGCTCTGTTCGTGCTGTTATGGCACTAAAATGGCCTCATTCTTTTCAGCTCTCCTAATCTCTCAGTCTCTATAGAATGTCTGCTACTGTACAACAAAGAGAAAGCACACCTCTCCTAGTTCCTAACAACTCATGCACTTTATTAGATTTTTTCCAATTAAGGCTTTTCCAGGGCAGTTATGCTGGAAGGTGAACAGACTAGAAAAGCAGTGCTAGTCAGAAGAGCAGTATCCAATTCCACATGAGAGAGCAAGTCTTAAAGGAAAAAAGAAACAAAAAAGAAGCAAAATGGTAATCTTTCCTAAAATACAAGACTTGAAACATGTCAGCCAGAGTTTGCTGAAATATTGTATTCTGTTAATGTTAACTCACTGTAATATGTATTTGGCATCGAGTGTTTTATTGTACATGAATACAATATAGGCATTAAAATATTTTGAAAGTGATGTTATCAACCAAGAGAAAAATATATCAAAACATTTCTACTTAAATAAGAACTGTGCAAAGAATAAATTTCCTTTTTATAGCACATATGAGATGCTGTGAAACATTTGCATTTACTCCAAACTTCATTGATCAGAGGAGTGGTAACCCCCACAAAAATTTTTTTGATCAATGGTAAAATTGAATTGTATTCTCAGGCAACTTCTTTCTTGAGATAAAATTCTAGATGGGAAAGCAGGTCCTATTTCAAAATCCTTATTTCACTAGGACACCAAAACTCAAAATTATCATAATCTACAGGCTAAGATGTCTACATGTTCATGCAAAATCAGGTGAAATGCATATTCCCATGATAGGGAAATAATTGTGCCAAAATGGTTGGATTTAGAAGAAATGTTTTAAAATTATATGGGTGTTGAGTGAGAAATTGACCTAATTTATAGTGTCCTAACATCTTACTGTTCTTCACTGAAGACAGCTATAATTCTATATTTATATGAAAAACTCTTCAATAGGATATAAATTAATACCTTGGAATTTCTGCAAAATAATAGAGATGCCTAAAAAATTAATCTTGCCAATAATCTTATACTTAATGAGATTTAAAATTATAGTAGAACTTGAAATTGGTTGTCTGCTCAGTCAAATAAATGCTCATTGAATTTCTCAGCCCTATGCTGAGAAAATAATATTTTTAATTTCTCATACTTTAAGTGAATATTTAGAGATGTGCCTGCATTCCAAATGCTATAGATTAAATTTGTGATAAAATATGCAAATATTACATGTTAACACTATCTGTTTATCTGATGTCTCCAAGTGAATATCTCTAATTACTGGAGAAGTGTGGGTTTGGGGTTTTTTCTTTGTGGTTTTTTTTTTTTTTAATTCAGTACATTTTTTGGAATTGAGTATATAAAAGTAACAGCATTATAGTTTCACTTTCCGTTATCCCCTGTTTATTCTGCCTCAGTTTTGTTGAAATCTGTGGAGAGATTTTGTTTTATTTTTTAATCTCTTTGCTGAGAGGGTAAGGAAGAGCTTTTTCACTCTTCTCATGAGATGGCTGTTCAAAGAGTTTCCATGTTCCTTGCCATATGGGTGAGGTAGGAATTCCCCATAACTGGAAGCTCAGAACTTTGTCCCAATATTGGAACAGGGACAGTTGCCAATGGTGGGAGGCAGTGACCTTTTCCAGCCACAAAACTGATTTTAAACATCATGATATCTTCCTGTATTTGTCCTCATTGCCTCTTGTTTTTTCATCTGTTCCTGCACCTTGCAGAGAGCTTTAAAATGATGAAGGGAAAGCAGCAGTGTTTTGAGTAAAACACTTTGATGTGCAAGTGCTCAGCTGCCAAAATCAGCAGCGCTTTATGGGCAACCAAACATTTTAAAGTTTTCATTCTTGTTTACAGAGCTAATTTAGCATCTTTGTAGCATTCTTTTCAAATGGCAGACTATCAAAATTACAGTGACTATCTTGTGAATGAAAAGTTTCTGCTGAATGCCTGACCAGGAGAAGAGGGGGAGAAACCTACTGACCTTAAAAACCAAGGAACATATCAAATATACTTTATAGTCTGCATTAGATAAATCTTTTAAATAGTAGTATGTGCATTTGGAGCATAGGTTTTAAGTATTTTCCCCAAGCAATTCTATTTGTTTAAAACAGTGTTTGGTTTCCCATTAAAAAGTAAGCACTTGCCAATAGCTCTGCAGACTTAGAATACTGTAATGAGTTCCATGTGGCAGGACTGTTCTAATTATACTGTTTTCTTCAATTTTTGCTATTTTAAGAGGAAAAGGAGGTACCTATAGTAATTTTAGGATGTAATAACTCAGTATTTTAAACTTTAAGATTTTGTGGTCTTCCAGAAGTTGTTGGTAGGACTGGAGGGCCATAGTAGTTCTTTCCTGCTGTAAAATCTATTAGTAAATTGTGTTGATGCAAATCAATGCTGATGCAAATCCTAGACAGAGGCCAGCAGTTTCATCTTGAAGTAAAGGGTTAAAAACATAATTCTTAACCATCTAGATATTCATACTTGGTTTTTATTTATTCTCAGTATAAAACATGCAGTTTTGCCCACAGACATTGATCACCCTCTTGGTGTGATATACTGGGAGCCCATTTGTGCAGGTGCTTGCTGACAAACACACTGCTTGGCTATAAAATCCAGGTCTTGGGAATGTACTGGCTCTGCACTTAGAGGTTCTGGTCTGATTTTAATGTTACAAGTGCGTCTTTAAATTTCTACAGACAATCTTCAAATGCAACGTGAGGCAAAATGCATAAGAAGCACTACAAAATGAGTTTGTTGTTTTGTAGGAGATCTTAAATCAACAGTGTTTATTAGTAAGCTGCCAGCAAATATTTGCTTGCATACCTTTTATTATTTCAAAGGCTTTTATTAGCAGTATGTCACGGTGCTAGTGTCATTTACATTCAGACACCACTTTCTAATGTTTTAAGCTTTCCAGAGATAACAGGGAGGAAAATGTTAAGAAAATGAAACAGATCTTTTCTAAGAAATCATTTTTGCAAGCGTTTTGTCTCTTCAAGATTCTGTGACATCCTGTTCAGCTGAAGGAACACACCACTTGAATTGCACGACTCATTCACCTTAAATATTTAATAATGCTTTCATTAGTTGCACTGAACCAGTGGAGTAAGATCTGTAATATCTACTGCTGGCCATCATTTTTATTCATTGTGGTTTAATAAGCATTATAATTACAGACTGAGGAAGAAATATGAGTTAACTTTGTGGTTTTGCTTGGGACTTCTGTGCACACTGGTATGATTGGAAGGGATTATACAAGCTCTGTGAGCATAGCTGAGTGTATTTTAATATAATGGTGCAGAGTTCCCAATCCTGGCACATAATTCTTCATATGAAAGTAACTGCAGAAAAGATCCTGCATAAAATTGAGTGCTGACACTATTAACTCCATCTGGCTTAGTTGTGAAATATGAAAATTTGAAAGCCAAGTGGACTTGTTTTTGGCAGGTGTTCTAATGCATGCATTATCAGTGGAATTAGACTTCAACTATTTTTACCAACCAGTTCCTTTATTTGCTTGTAACTTACACAAATAGCAGTTATTTAGAGAGAACAGTCAGTTAGGGAAGCTTTCATTTGGAAAGTTTGTCAGAGTTCAAGCTAAAAGGCCGTTTGTAGGCATCACAACCTTCTGTGCTTGTTTCTCGAGTAAATATAGATGGTGATGATTATGATTTAGTATAACTTTCTCACTTTGATATCACAAAAGTGGCTGTATGCATGCTGTTTGCATTCTTATGTTTTAATGGGAGGTATAGTAGGGCAGACTGATATCTGGTGCATTTTTTAATGTTTTGTTAAAACATCATTTTTTCCTCATCAGCAACTTATGCGGGAGCGACAGCAGATGGCCAGCCGCCCCTTTGCTTCTGTCGATGTAGCACTGGAAGTAGGAGCTGAGCAAACAGACTTTCTACGAGGGCCATTAGAGGTAGGAACAGTGGTGCTGACAAGGGACCATTGTGATTTGCATATTTATATTGCCAGTCTCATCTGCATCTGCTTCTGAAACCAAGCAGCATCTGATTACCTGGAGCTGACAAGCCTCAGCTATGTGTGTTGTGTCATTTCTAAGGCACAGAGTTTTAATCTCATGACATAAACTGTACCTAAAACCACTGGAGAATCCATTAGCCTGGGCTGGGGTGACAGGCAGCTCACCTGGCAGTCCTGTTGTGATGGATGTGAGCTGAAGGAATGCAGGACTCTGGCTGGAGTCAGCAGCAAATGTCATGCTCAGTCCTTCAAGTACACAGTGCCATCTAGTTAACATCTATCTTAATTAACAGACATTACAACAAACAACCTAACTAAAGCACCTTAGAGTAAAAATTCAGTGTTGTTTTATACACGGAGGTTGAAAGTATACAAACTGTACTGCATGGTTTTGTTTGTAGGAGATGGCAACATTACTGCATTCTTTTATTGCAATTGCAGTACATTGGAAAAGAAATAGTAATATGTAAAGCAATATAATATTGGAATGGTGTAATAATGCATGAAATGGATTCTGAAAGTTTTACCTGAAAATGGAGGGAAAATTACAATATGTGGATAATAATTAATATCTAATCTAGGTTTAGATTTTGGGAGATGATCTACTCCTCTACTCCTTTAACTTTAGTTACAATATTGTGTTTACAGTTATTACTACAGCCTATTTATGGTGGGGCCTGGGTACAAGGTGTGCTAGCTCTGAAATCTTTCAGGATTGTACTCTTCATTGCTGCCAATTCTTCTTAAATTCAAAGCTTCTCTTACTCTCCTCAATAACCAATCTCAGTGGAAGGTTAAATACCATCTGTCAGAGCTCCAAGGTTCATGGGGAATGAGTGCTGTGAAAAACAAAAACATAGCAGAAAGAAAAAGATTCAGCTCTTGAGTACTTATCAAAGTGAGGTGCTCTGTCCTGCAGTTGAACAGAAAGTCATCCCAATTGTTCTTACAGTCACAATTTAAATATTTGGAATGGGTGGTGAATAAAAATGATGTATCTCTTTGAAGAAGCTGTGTTATTTTCTGACCTAATACTAAACCCCTCACATTCTTCCCCAAAACCACCTTACTTCTGTCTCCTCTTATCTTGGAGCAGAAGACCTCTCCAGCTCCCCGAGCTGAGGATACATTACACTGCAGTTAAAAGTTAATTTTTTTGCAGTGTGATTTCATTGTCTCTGCACTGTATCTGAGAATTTTTTTTCTGTTTTCTTTTCAAATGGAGGCAGTGAAGGGACAATGAGGCATCCATACTCTAATTTTGTACATACTGATTATTTAATTAAACTTTAGAAGTAAACTTCTAAAGTTTAATCACAACTTAATTGCTACATTTTTTCTCATGTTTTTTATTTAGCACTAAAAGAGGTAGATCCTAAAATATCTTAATTATATTTTATGGTTTTTATTACCTTCTTTTTCTCCTAGCCAAGCATTTTCTAGCAATTGTTTAGAATTCAGCATCCATAGTGGTTTTTTTCTTAATTAATACATAGTTATACACAGAATGAACTCCATTCAAAATTTCCTTGGAATTATACTGATCTATCTCTAAAAAAGTATTGTGCTGAGGATTAAATGAATGTGATTCAAGCATTGTTTGTCCTTTGGTATATATTCTGTAAAAATAAAGGGGCTGTATTAAGCTTCTTTGTGAAAGTACACTAAAAGTTTTAGTTGCCATTCTGTTTTTCATATTCGGCTCTTTTGGACTGAGGGCAATCCAGCTCACACATTTCCAGGATGCAATGTTTAAGAAAAGAATAATATGAAATAGCTGTGAACCTCATTTTGTTGTATTAATTTAGAATCATTAACCTACATTAATAATCTTGTCATATCTGAAGCCGATTGGGAGGCTGAAAGCCAGAGATCTTTTGTGAAAAAATGAGAATATAGGGTAAGTTCAAAATGTTCTGCTGGCATTGCAGAGATCTTGCACTGATATACCAGGGGCTCCAGTTTTGATGATGGTGCACTGCATTCCCTCTCTTCACACTTTTATTGGCATCGTGTGTTACTCCCTGATACTTTGGACATTGTTGTTACACTTCTATTGACATTGGAATAACTCTGACACTTCCAGTGACACCACATTGATCCGTGGCCCCTTTGGGCACTGGGTAATGTCACTGAACTCTTCCAGACATTGCTGCAAGTCTCCCACTCAGCTGCACAGTAAAGCTGCTGTTCATTAAGGTCACCTGCCTCGTGTGGTGGTGGTTTTGTACAGCTGGAGCTCTACATCAATACTGATGCTCTGGTATATGGCAGTGTTCATGTGGCTCCACATGGTAATGCCAGGATACTTGCAGTTTGGTTAACATCTGTATTTTACATTTATTTGTAAATATCCATAGCAGCTATATTTTACATTTATTTGTAAATATTCATAGCAGATGTATCACTGGAGAGGCTTAGTTTGCAATAGTAAGGCACATTTTACCCAGTGTTCAGAAAAGATAAAAACTCCAAGAGTATAAATACTGCACATAAAATGCTTGCCTAGTTTAGATACTTACAATACAACTGTTACTGTTTGGGTCTATTTTCAGCTAGCAGCAATTTGAACAGATTTAACTACAGAGGAGAGTTGAACTTTGTTGTTGGAGTATCCATCAATCAGTCTATCTTTCTTAATGTTTTGACAACAAAATGACAGTATCTCCATATTAACTCCTTCAAAAAACTTCAATTTGCATCATATTCCTCCTCTTCCCTGTCTGAGTGGGTTTTTAGGCATTGGCAATAGCCTTTGTTCTTACCCATTTAAACAATATTATTTATCAGTTTTTACTTCCTCAGGCCACCTTTTACATGAACAAGCCTCATCTTGTTTTCTACTCTGTCATGTTGGCTTTATTACAACTCTTCAATGTTTTATTGTCAGTTTAAACTTAACACAAACAAAAGCAGACTTCATTTTTCCCTTGCCCTCTTTCTTTCCTGTATGACACCAACCACTGCCTTCCTAATGCTACTGATAGGATGTTAATTGGGATGTTATCCCAATTCTAAATGTACCAAGCAACACCCACTCCTGCTGTGCCATGGTATTAATGATATTTAACCCATGCTAGTCCTGATCTGCATCTTCATTTGCTTCTGTAATGACTTCCACTGCACTGATGGAGGCGATGAGGTCTGGGTGAGCCCTTGCAGGGAAGGAGCAGGAGGCAGGAACACTCCCTCCTGGGCAGAACAAGAGCAATCCAAAGTTACTGTGGTGGAGGAGGGGAAGGGAAGTCTGGAAGGTTTCCAGAAACCCTCTGGATCCCAAGAGGGGAACAGTCCAGTGCAGCTCTGCTGAAGTCACTGGTGAGCCAAGGGAGGGGAAAAAGGAGAGAGAATTCCCAAGGGCCCCTTGCCAGCAGTAGCACATAGCACAGGCTGCTAAGAGCAGAGCCAGAAAACAGCAAAAGCACCCTGTCCAGAGAGTTTGAGAATATTAGCTGTTTTGTGATACCACCATAATTTTTTTCAGTACCACAATCATAAAAAAAAATCAAAGTAGTATCATAGATCAATAGATGCTCATTGCTGAGCTTCTTGGCACTCAGTGCCCTCAATGTTACAATGTTTTTTATTCCTTTCATTTCTTTTTTCCAGACATCTGAGCTATTTCCAGACTTGGTTGCTTTTTTCTTCCCAGTATATACTAAAAGCTAAATCATTTAGGCTATCTTCATATTCTAAACCTCCTTTAGGCAAAAATTTTTTCCCTAAAATGTAAATCACTTTTGAAGAGTTTCTTCTGCTGTGCTGCTGACAGTCATTTCAGTTAATCTATGTATTAATTGAGAAGTAAAACATTTTTTTTTTCCTCTTTGCCTAATGTCTGGGTATTTTTCTTTTGGAAATGGGGACAGATGATTTCTTTAGGTAAGATAAGGTAGACACTACTGTAAACAAACACTTCATGTCTGGTCATGCTAAGACTCTGAATATCAGCATCTTACTGTGCTGCATCTGCTGCAGTAAAGACAGGCATGTTATTGCCTGCAGAAGGACCAAGTACAGATTTACTGCTGTGATGATCATCCATTTGTGGTATTACTTGGATTTTTTTTTTCAAATCAATGTTATTTCATAATTATTTCTGTAGAAAAGCATGCAGTAGATCTTTCAGTCATTTTGCTGTTAAATTGCTGCATTTTCCCTAGAGTTGTCATAGATATTAGACCATCCTCTGCTTTTGACAAGGTAGGACAATGTCAAAAATTTTGAATTTCCAATAAAATTTTTGTTTGTTTCTCTAGCAAATAATGTTTTATAGTGAGTAATATGTATGATGCATTTGATAAGTTTTGAATTTCAGGCACTTTTGATAAGTAAGGAGCAAAAATTGGCCATTATTTGTCATTTGTTTGAGTAAATAATTGGAAGGTGTGACACAAGCAGCTTTTTTATACATTTTATACAAAGAATGGCTGCTGAAAAGTAGAGTGACTTATCAAAACACATCAAAATCCTGTAGTAGAGACTTGTGGACTTTTAAGGAATTGTAGTACATATTAATAAGTTGTGCTGCTGGCTTCTCTTGCCAATAAGGAGATTTTTTAGCCTGGTTTACAAATAAATCTAATTAAGGTACATTCAGTTTCTTGTATAATTTGACTAATTATATAAGATGACTAATTATATAAGATAAATTACAGTGAGTAATTTTTTGAAAACGCAGCTTACCTTATTTTGAACAAAATTCACCTAGTTGCATGCTTCATCAGCATTGCACATGCATTGTGTTGATGACATAATGTCTAAAGCCAAGGAACAGGCTATTCCCAACTCCTTGGTACAGAGCATCTGCTTTCCTCTTGATATGCTCAGTTCCTAATATTAGTCTCAGTATCAGAGTGATAATTTATTTTAGATAATGGTGAAATTTTCCCTCGAATGATTTTCCAGTGACCATAAAGGCAACATGTATTTGGC